ATTTCAGTTAATCACCATTGTAAAACTGATGCATCTTTCAATCCTGTCAACCAGAGCATGTGTTCAGCTCTTTATTTTTAGTGTTTGTTACATTTCCTTTTCTCTGTCGTGATTTATAGTCAAGCAGCTACGGGTTCTTGCCAGCACCCCAGGAACTGTCATATTATTGGAATTCTTTATTGTACGGCCTACCATCCTATCTTATGCGAAAGCTTCAACATGTTTAAAATTCTGCCGCTCACCTTGTCAACCAGTGTCCAAGATTTTGCCATATTACTCCAGTCCTGAGGGATCTTCACTGGCTCCCTGTCTCCTCTCGTATTGAATTTAAAATTATGTTAATTACTTACAAAGTACCACATGATCGAGCTCCAATCTATATACAGGAGGAACTCCTTCAATTGTATACACACAGCTGCAATCTTAGATCCTCTAACAGAAATTTATTAGTTAAACCCTGTTTTAATCTCAATTTGTATGGTAAACAAGCTTTTTCTGTTGCTGCTCTGGAACTTTGGAATAACTTACCTGAGGATATTAAATCTGCAAACTCAATTATTATTTTAAACGCAAACTTAAAACATTTCTTTTTATGGGAGCTTATGAATCGTGATGTTTCTTTAAATTTTTTATTTATTTATTTTTTTAATCGATTGTGTACACTTATCTACTTTGTAGTTAGCGTCTAGTTTTCAATGTCAATTTCTTGTGATTATTTTTACTTTTTAGTTTTGTCTAATTTTTGTAAACAGCACCTTTGAATCTTGTAGAAAAGGCGCTATATAAATGGATTATTATTATTATTATATTAGCAATTATTCTTTTATTCGTGTTTAATTTGTCCTTGGATTTTCTTCTGATCAAGGGCAATTTCAAGAAAGTCCAATGTTCACACACACAATGTTTCTTTATGTTGCACAAGGGTTAAAATTAATGGCCAGTTATAGTAGTGTGACTGCAGCTAATCCCATATCCAAGAACAATGGGTGGAATAACTAATACTAATAACAAGCTGAACCACCAAAATGTTAGCCTAAGTACCCTCTAAGCAAACAGAAAACTAAAGTATTCGTCCAAATCATGATAAAACCTGGGCCCTGGCTTATTTTTTTGGAAAATTCAAATGCACAAGATTAAGGAGAATGGTTTGCAGCTAGTAGTGACAAATTGGAATGCACGACTGACATTCCTTGGATTAAGTTGCAAAATATTAATGGGGCGGTCTCCATAGAAAAAAGTATAGTTTAATAAAGTTGACTTGCGTTAGGTCGTTGTGGAAATTGGTAAATGAATGAAGAGTGTAGATTATCACTCGGAGGTGGTGAGAAACCTTCAGAGGAACTTGATAAACAATGTATTGAATTTCTTTTGGTTGTCATTTCAGATATGGCTTCAGCGTTTCCGCCATCAGCCAAATGGTCCTGAACAGCAGCTGAAGCCCCTTCAGTCAGGAAACAAGGCTAAGAAGTTAGCATTCCGTGGGAGGAAATCTGTCCAAGCGTCATAAGTGAATCGTTGGATACAGTTAGTAAGGCCAACAACACTACACATTTGAAGAAGCTTCAATACGTTCAGAACACTGCCACCAGAATTGTTACTCAGAGTCGTTAATTTGATGACATTACACCTGTCTTATTTGACCTTCACTCACTTCTGGTTAGTTATCGTATTGTTTTTAAAATTCTTTTGCTAGTTTTCAAATCACTTAACAACCTTTCCCCTTGCTATCTGGTGGACAGACCGAGTTATCAATCGCATTCCAGGGTCTTGCGGTCCGCATCTACACAGCTGTTAGACCAACACTGATCAATCACGAAAACTTATGGGGACAAGGCTTTTTCAGTGTGTGCTCCTAAACTGTGAAAAATATTCACTACCATTAGATTTGCATAAGTCACCATCTTTAACTGCTTTTAAGAAAGAATTGAAGACATATCTTTTTAGGCAATTTTTAGAGAGAGGGTCATTGTTTTTGTAAACTTTATGATTTTAAGACCTGTAATATAATGATTGTAAATAGATTTTTAATGACTTTTCATGCTCGTGATATGTAAATTATTTCATTTTCCCCTTTTTTACATTGTAAAGCGCTATGAACTCAGGATATGAGCGCTATATAAATAAGGTTATTATTATTATTATTATTACGAGAAGAGACATTTCGCTAGCCAGTGTCTTGCCAACTGTGGCATGCTTGATGGGGCCCTCAACAGTCAAGGTTGACTGTAGAATACGTGCAGAAACTATAAACCTCTACATGATCTGCTTGTGTGACCCCGGGGCAGGGAAGTCCCCTGCCTTTCAACACGGCTGTGCACAGCCAATAAGGTTTCACTTCAGGCAAAAGAGGATAACCCTTTATTTGTCGATGAATTTACGGAAGCTGGGCTATTCCGGCAGCTTAAATCAATGCCTGGCCATAAAGCCATCGTTGGCAAGGAGGAAGCATCCCAGTTTTTTGATCAGCTGCTTGGTGCTTCCAGGGAAAAGAGCTGCATAGCCATGGAGCGTATGATCCAGTTATACGACGGAAGTACATGGGTTTATACACAAGGAGACAAGTCAGCACATCAAGTTATTGACAGTCCAGGGGTATCAGTGAGTGGCTACAGCCAACCCAACCGCTTCTTTCCAATTTATGTTAAACTAAAGGAAAGGCAGGATGGTGCAGTGGGTAGGATTCTTATGTACCAGCCTTTGCCACATCGTCTCGCAGGACGTGAAACGAGATTTTATAACCAAACTGAATAATTCTGAAGTGAAAGATCTCAGGTAACTTTTTGGTTGTGGCAAGTTAGCTAATTCAGGACTTCTCTTAATCTCAAATTTCCTTAAGGAGCCTGCCCTAACCTGTAACCCCCTTCCTCCACCCACTTTCATACACAACCTTGGCTTTGGATAAAACAAATCTCTTTCCAGAAAGAAGTTTAATTTGTTAATACATAACATTAATATAGTTAGCTTTTGTAATTTTAGGTTTTTTGTTGTTGTTGACTGCAGACATGAAAGACAAACTCACCCTGCTCAGAATGAAACCCTTACTGCAGACACATGTGATGAGGGTCCTACTCAAGACGATCTCTACAATTATCACAGAAGGATATTTGCTTTGGGCTCATACTTACGGAATTTAATGATGCTATTAAAGAGAGGGATGGTGATCGGCTATTTGACCTTTATAAGCTGGCGGCCACAACAAATACACCTATGTAGTCTTGTTTTACATTGTGAAAGTAGTTGCTCTTTTGTCAAAGTCTGAAGCGTGCCAACTAAAATTGAACTGTTATTTAAAAAGTGTGGTAGCATATAAGAAGAAATATATGAGACTTTAAGTGTCCCTATATTTTCTATAGTTTAAAACTTTTCCGATATTTCTCTATCTTGTTTGTAAATGTCCTATAATCCCTATAATGCCGTTTGAAAATAAAAATATGCTGATTTTCATGAACTTCTGTTGGTGGAATGCAACAAAGACAGTGAATTTTTTGGACCATCGAAGACCGAACTGGTAATAACTTTATTATTAGTGCATGTAAATACTTAATCTTCATCCAGATATTCTCCAGACTTTAGAGGAAGTATCCGCAGCTTTGTGTGCTTTAGGCATTCAGATTAGGAGAGCTACATTTTTAGTGCCCCTAACCCTTCGATTTGTTTCTTTTGGTAGATTTCCATATCTTTCAAGAACTCATTTTCGAAAAAAAATTTCAGAAATATTGAATCCTTTTTTTTTTACGAGCCCTAAAAGTGAAGGCAGTCTTGTCGATATTTTCACCTATCGTTCGCATTAGTCCCCCACTCGGCCAAATGTGTCCAAATATGGAGCGTGACGTTGTATGTTGTGTGGACTGATCCAGGATTGTTCGATGTGTTTGAAATAAAAAGCCCACCTTGTAGGGGGTTTAATAGAGGATTCATGGTAAGCAGCCTTTTTTCATCAAAATAAGATAGATGAAGAACACGCATCTTACACAGGCAAATGGTTTAAAATTCGAAAGGCTGCTGCGTAATATATATAAAGTAAGCTAGTCCTTGATTTTGTATGATGATAAGCAAGGATTACATGTTGCACTCCCTTTGATGAAAAGCATTAATTATTGATACTATTATTTTTATCACTATAACTATTTTAATATCAATATGTGAAACAGCATGGTTTCTTGTTTTTCCTTTGAAAGAGGACGCCAAGGATGATAAGAACAGCCAACTTCCAAAGTGCACAATTAGTAACCACAATATATACCAATGTGACCTTGAAACCCTGTTGCATGCTGAGAAGATTAATCATAATGTACGGCTTAATGCTCCTTCGAAAAATATCGACCAACAAACATTCTTTCTGTTTTGAAGTATTTGCCGAAGAACATTACGTATTAGAGTTAACTCTAATTACCTTGACGCTTGATTATATTTTAACCTAAAGAGCAGTGCGCCCCTGAATTGGGTAAAAGTTTCTTAAACACATTATCACTTTTTTATCAGGTTATCAATGCATACTTGGAACTTCAGCTGATGCACAAAGGAAACAAGGTAAAATATTTATAAGGTCACTTGTTAAAAAGAGAAGTGCATTGTTAAAGGATAGCAAAACATTAGCAGTTGTTTTTAGGAAAGGAACATTTACTTAATATTGTCCATCTGTTCTTTTCTTATTTAGAATTTCCACTTTTTCAATGCTCATTGCTTCTCAAAACTGTCTGCTTAAGGTTATGGAAAGATTGCAAGATGGACAAGAAAAGTAAGTTAGAAAAGGTAGCTGCAAATGATTCTGTAATAATAACGGTGGGAACACAGTCATGAAGCTGCTATTATGAGACCAAAGATTGAGTGTGCTCTAATGTGGAGAGTGTGTTCTTTGTCCCTGGCATTAACAGATTATACCCATGTACTAATTTTTTTTATGAAAACAAAACAGATTGACATTTTTTTCATTGAAGAAATTGTTTGTACCTATCCATTTACACAGCGAAGAACACTGGTGCCTGGCTGTAAGTAAACTGACATTAATTTTAGAATTGGAGTAAAATAACTTGAGGAAGTCTTTTTTTTTTCACATAATAAATAATTCTAGTCATCATGAAGTGCTTTGTGCACCATGTAAAATCCAGTGATTTATAACAGATAAAAATACGCTCTTGAAATAGGTTGTGGACTTCAAGATTAAACAAATCACTTATTTTGACTCCCTGAAGATCACGAAGATGCACCTTGGAGGAAGAGTGGACTCCTCACCTTGCAGTAGGAAATTGCTAGCAAAAATGTGTTGTCTTAATTTATTTTAGCACAAAAATGTTCTGCATTTTTAAACTGCGCATACCTGTACCATGTACATAACACATGACAGCGCCTCCATAAGTAGGCAAGCAATACTAATGAAATGTTCTGCTTATCTCCCATTTTATATTCAGTCTGTGACAGAACATACCTTAAGGAGGAGATGCAAAACAAGCAGAAAAAGAAATTCAATGAGAATGATTGGACATTGGTTATAGCAGAGGTCAGTTGGTGTTCTTTTTGGACGCTCTTGGCTGTAAGGCAAAACTACAACACTGTTTCAACTTGTTTTGTTCATCACATTTATACATCTATGTTGATTATTTCACTGCAGGAAATCCCAAAACAGAATAACGGAATTGATTGTGGTGTATTTATTTGCCAGGTACTAATCTAATGTAAACGTGAGGTGTTCATAACTAAGCGCCATCTGGTGCAGACTGTCTCCTAGCTGCAAATCATCTAATAATAATATTATATTGTCTATGCACTCTATCACCATTACTGGCATTCAATATTCAAAGTGTCATATATTTTTTGGATATTTTTCACGTAGTATGCTGCACATCTCATCTACCATGAGCAAGTAAATTTTCCTTTTACACAGGTAAATTTATGAAACATGTAAATAGTCCAACAATATTCATTGAGTTACACATACATCATTTAATACTTGATCAAATTTCAATGATTGCACCATGACCATTTTTGACCTAACATTACTACGATTGTCTGTTGCCTTTTGCTTTAACCAGTAAAATGATTTACGGTGTCAAACAACTTCACTCACTAAAAAAAGACATGATTGTTGCAAAATAATGCCCCAGAATCAAAGTTGCCTCTGGATTTATTCCACAGGCTGATATACCAAGCTTGGGCCAAGAAATTGCACAGGAGTTAATTTCCAATTCTTTAGTGTAAGCCAATACTATGATGGTATAACTATATGACAGCTACTAATTAGCTGTAACAGTACTTTAGATGACATTGTTAAAAAAATAATAATAGCAGGGTACAAAGAAAATCATTCTTACAGCTTGCCCATGGCAAGCTGAAGCTAGCATCTACTTGCCCAGACGTCATTTCAACTAGCCCCCAAAACTTCTTGACTACCACAATTGATTTCACAGTTCTTGTGTTATTCGAATTCCTTTAAAACATCACTTGCCCGTCAGGCAGGGCAAGTTAAAAACAGAATTCACAAGCCTGATAACAAAATCCACTAGCCCCGGGCTATAAGACACTACTTTCTTTGCAAGCTGAACAGTAATATTTAGTAGCGTATATTGCCATTGCATTGCCATTTTTGGGGGGCACTATTCATCACTAATATAATTGAATATAAATAAAAAATAAATGATTAATTATTTCTAATTTTTTCTTATATGATTTGTACAGTGGAAAAACGTGTGCAAATCACTTTCCAATGCAGACAATGGTGACTGCAAGTCTGCTTACAAATATGGAAAATAGCCATACAAAATTACTGAACAATAATTGTTCTCTCTGTTTAATACTGTCAGAATAGCACAACGCAAACATCTGAATACCTATATGTAACATTACAGGCTATAGGAAATTGCAATGTGTTATTTCAGACAGTGTGATCACCTTGGAAAATTAATAGTTAAAATTTAATACTTCAAACCTCACCCATAATATGATGGGATTTTGTAAATACAAACAGATTCCAATACTGTAAGTGTGTTCACTATGTTGGAGCTTGGGTCAGAAACAAATTGAGTGTATGCTGAGTGAATCCTTCCCTTGCATGAAATCAAAGGAAAGAAGGATGAAACTGGTTGTTCCATTATTCGGTTCACCAGGGTTCCTGTAAAAAGAAAAATGTTTTATACCTTTGCATGTAGTTACATGTATAATTAAATAATAATTCAGACTGTGAGGCCCGTGTAGAACTTTTAATAACTGTGGATTCATAATATTCTTTGCAACAGGCAAACAAGCTACCAATATCCAAACAGGACCACCTGTCATGCGTTTCAGTCCAACAAAAACCTCAGAAATGTTTAGTACCATCCAATCCAGATGTCCATTCATCAAAGACTTCTAAATTGCACTCCACATCTGAAGATAGTGATGAATTTGAGATCATACTCATGGATGAACCTGTGGCATCATCCCTCTGTACTGTTGAAGATGCAGATGTTACATGCATGAGTGATGACGAAGAAGAACAGCAGCCCAGCTATGAGTCTGCCGAAGAGT